AGTGGCGAGCCAAATCGAAGTGCGTGGGAGCCCAGGGGGTGACCCCTGCAGGGCTGCGGCTTTGGGCCGGGGCCGGCGTGGCTCCTGCCACGCTGCACCGGGCGCTGGATCTTCTCCTGGGGAACCTCTGGCGGGCTTCGGTGCTCCGAGAAAAACAGGAGAGGTTTCAAGGCCGCTCGTCTTCAGTGGCACAGGGCATGTCGATGTTCTGGAATGAGATGCATTTTTAAAAGGTTTTTTTTTCAACCCAAAGTACTTTTCCTGGCAGCATAGGAGCCGCCTGACCTTCTGCCTTTGGTGGCACTGTCGTGGGAGAAGCGAAACTTTCCCTGTCACTTGGTTTAGTGCCGTGCTCAGTCCTAAGCGGGATTCAAACATGGGATTGCGAACGAATTACCAATTATATTTCAATGTAAAATGTCCACCAGGTTCCCCACAGCGCACTTCTGCAGATGGAGGGGCTATTTACTCCGGTAACTAATGGGCATAGACAGACTTGAGCAGCACTGAAAGGTAATATCACCCCCAAATACAACCAGATGTGCAAAAAATACACAACTTTTCGATGGATAAAACTTGCTGCAGAGGCAAAATCAGACTCAGCTGCTAGTTCCAGGTCTTGAGGGTTAGGAAGAGGCAAATTTTTTGTGTGTGAGCTATAATCCTAACTCAGCCTTTTGGCCAAGACTGGCAGGGCAGAATATTAATGAAGGCAGATCCTCCAGATGCAGGGCCTGACTCGAGTTCCCAGGGCTGTGGTGCCCACAGGCACAGTGGTTATGAGGATTTCAGGGCTCTACCAGTCTCATCCCTTCTGCCTGCTGCCAAGGCTTCTCAGGGATATTATCTCCATCGTCCCAGTTTTAAATTGCAGCTTATCTAAAAAAAATACGCAAGGAAAGGAGCTGAGATCAATGGATTGCACATAACAAGGAAAGCTATTTTGTTCCCTCCAAATCTTCCTGTTCTGCAGCGTGGGCTCCAACCAAGGATGGAGAAAGTCTTTGCAGATCATAGCAACCCCGGCCAGAGCAGAGGATTTTACATTTCAGATAGGAAGATCTTTTCTCTAGCACCTACACGCTTGACTTGCTTTGGTCCTGGAGACCTTAGAAAGAAAATTACAGCTGATAAGCGCCGGTCCATGGCCATGATGGCTCTGGTGAACCCCAAGAGCGTGCACGGAGTCTCGGAGCTGGGATGGAGCAGGCTGATGGCGAAACACCACGGGGACATTGCTGGGTGGGGGTGGCAGACCCCGGGGAAGGGCTCGGGGAGCCCAGCCATGGGATGGGGCACTGAGAGCCGAGGAGGAGATGCTCCTTGCAAGCCAAGAGCCCCGGTCCCCACTGGAAGGCAGCGGATGCTCGGCCAGAGCCAGCTCCACCCCGAGCCGCGGCTCTCCCGCGAGCCTTCCCCATCTCACCTTGTTTTTACATTACTTGAGGACAGAGCTTGTTTTTCAGAGCAAATCCCCTGCTAACGTTGCTGGGATTTGAATTTATGGCCACGGGAGGTGTTGAGCCACCAGGCCAGATGGTTATTTGCTAATTTTGATGGTTTGGAGTGGTTTTTGGATCTCAACAGGACTGTCCGCATTTGCAAACAAGAGAAAGCCATAGGCCGAACTGTTTCATATATACAATCATTGCATGGTTTTCTTCTTCCCCTATTGAAAAAGATCGTTTGATTTTTGGCCGTATAATTTACAGCCCGCAGCCTGTGACCCAGTGCAGCCAGAAGGAAACTTTGGAAAGGGAGATAATACCCTGGAGACAGATTTTCCTCTTCTCTGAGCTGAAATTCCTCGTGAAGCTGAAGGTTGTTGACCAGTTCAGCTAACGCTGATTTTCTTCTGCTCCAGCAACACCAGCTACAGATGGACTTCTTTGACAGACTTTATATAGCAACTACCTGTACATCAACGTGCGCGGACTGCATTTACTTATTTTGCACAACTCAGTGCTGTTGGGTGGCAAGTCAATCACATTTATTTATTACTTTAAAATTAAAACCAGAAAATAATATCCATCATCCCTAAGGGGATACTTGGAAAAGCAGTTTCACCCAGCTTTGCATGGAGAGTTCATGCGGTTTTAATTTCAAATACAAAGAATAGATAGCCTGGTTGGGGGGTGACATCACCCTCCTTAGAAAATCTCATGTGATTCTTTTTCTTGTTTTAAAAGCTATTATTTTACATATCTGCCAACAGATATTTGTATTGGCAGATCTTATGAAATATTAAGATTGTATCTTTTCTGTTTAATTTCAAAAGTCGCTTCCTTAACCAAAGTGCAAGCTAACAACTCAAGAAAATCGGTGTTTCGAAGATGAGTGAAAGCTTCCTTGCAACTTTTTGATTTATTGTCCTTCTCCCCAGTGCATCACCCCTTCCAAGCTTTTATTCTCGTCCCTCTATATGTGCATTTACAGCAATAATTAGCTGCAATAACCGAGGATAGAATAGCAAAACAAAGCTGAGTTTCTCCGCAGCCTGTCGATCTCTCCCAGGTGTGGGCTTGGTTTAAGGCCAGAGTTTGCATTTATCTTTCCAGACAGGGATGGAAAAGTCTCAAACCTGTCTTGGGGCCGGCTCCTCCAGCAAAGTGCTGGTGGTGCAGAGACGGCGGCGGTGGAAAGAAATCAGTCGAAACCAAACAGTTGGAAAAGCGCTCTGTACCAGAACTAGTGGGACCGGGAATAAATCATCACATCTTGTTTGGACCCACCTTCTCTAAGCCCAGTGAAGGAGGGAGCAAAGCTTATTGCAGATGTCAGGATTTGGTGAGATAGAAGAGTAAGCCCCAATAACCTGCAATTTCTGCATGAACAATAAATAAACCTGAATGTCCCCAACAGGACTGATTTTCTAAGCCGTCCTCCAGAGCAGGCTCTTGGCTGCACGTGAAAGGCATCACCTGAGCCCTGGGGACTCCCCAGCATCCCTGTCCTGGCCCAGCGCCGCCGGCATCACTGGCCACGGGGCGTTGCTTCCTCACGGAGTGCACCCCGAGGCTGCGCAGACACAGCCTCCACGGGGACTTTGGCAGCCGGCACAGGGGCAGGTGGGTCTGGGACGCCGCTGGGGCAGCGATGGTACGGGAGAGGCAGCTCTCGCAGCCTCTTCAAGGTGGCGCAGTATTGACCCTGGTAGCGATGACCGTTCATTCAGGTGGGCTTTGCAAGCCCAACCCTGTTTGGGACACGTGTTGGTACTGTGAACCCTTGTCCTCCCCGGCCCCAAATCTTGGCCATCACAGGATACTTTGGCCCATTTTTGCTTTCAGAGCAGACGATGGGATCAAGGCCATCAAAGGACCTTGCCCCTATGCACCAGCACCAAGGGGATGTCTCAAGGCATCCAGTTACTATTGAAAGTGAAGCAAACCAGAACATAGGCTGTATTTTGTAAAAATAGCATCACCTTCCCCCTTAAAAAGGCTTTTTGCCCTCAGATTGCTGCCTGTGAAAGGGCTCGCTGTTGGTAAGGCCCCAGTTGGGGTTCTCAAGATCCTGGGATGCTCCATGGCCGGACCCTGCCTGGCCCCGGTGCCGAGCAGGGAGCGCAGGAAAGGTGGCCCCAGGTCGGCCTGGCTTCACTCCTGCCCGGGAATATAGAATAACTCAGTATCGGCTTCCCCATAACTATTTTAATTTCACTTCTCCTGTGTGGTTTCCCTGGCAGCTAAACCGAGAGCTCTGGCTTTTCCCTCCCTGTGCTCCCCCGGTAGGAAGAGCAGGGGTGGCCCTGGGGACAGGGGACCTGCAGCTGGCGGGGCTCACGTGGGGTCACCCTCTCTCCCCCTGGAGCTCTGCCCCATGGTAAAGCCAGACGGATACTTTTTAGTGCCATTCTAAAGGTTTTCTGCTTCGTCCATGTGGTTAATTTTGCTCTCTCTAAATCCCCTATTATTACACATTCTTTAAGTATTTTCTTTAAGTATTATGAGAAAAGTTCAACACGGCAGGAATTTTTCCCTTTACTTAGAGGGGGAAGGGACCGGGTCTTGGTCTTATTTCTCAGCTCTGGAGAAGTCATGGTGATGGGAAGGTGGTGGGAAGGTGCTCAGTGGGATGGCCAGGCTGGCAGGGACTTCTCAGGTGGAGGTGCCTGGAGAAGTGATGGAGCAGCTTCTCCTCGCTCTCACACAACCACCAGCCAAAAGCCAGGAGCCGGGCTAGGAACGGCGACCCTAAAAATGTTTTTCACGGGACAGAGCCAAGAGATCTTGCTTTTCCAGACAATATTTTGAGGTCGCAGTCAGTTATCTGACAGAAGCCCCCGTTACGCAGCCCCAGCCACATTGGCGGTCCCGGGAAAGCTCTCAACAGGGCATGCAGATGATGCTGGATCCAGCAGCCAGAGATGCTGGATAGAAGTTCTTCTGGTGGCATGTCATGTCTCGGTACCAGAAATGCACACGGGGCTCTCATCCTTACCCCAGTGGCACGTGGACATTACTGACCCTTCCTCAGCTTCCCTGCCTGTGGTGGGAACACCACCAACCCTTCCCTCGTCACAAAGTGAGCCGAGTCCCCTTGCTTGATTTAACTCTCCCCAAATGCTGTATATATTGTTTTTACTTCACTGAATAATGTCCTTAAAGTTTAATCCTATTCCCTGTGCAGCCTTTTTGGGGGCTTATGTATAAAACAACATAGCAGAGATTTATTTTGATATATCTTTAACTAACGCAGTGCGCGTGGCAGTGAAGAACCTCCTTAGGAGGTCAACCAACCGAGAGACTTCAACACCGGCTGTCCACCGCCGTAGGCTGGCTGTTTCTTCCCCAGACCTGCCGGTTTTGCCATGAAATTAATTCGGGGTGTTCCTGAGAGCGAGGAGGGGCTGCACCGTGCCGTCACCCCCTGCTTCGGACATCGCAGGGCCAGCCCACAGGCGCCGCAGCCCGACGCGGGACGGAGAGGGCTCGCTGTCGCCCTGTGCCTGGGTATAAGAGCAGAGGGTTTTCAAAGTTCATTATGGGCAAAGTAAGATGGAGAATGAAATTAAAGCTTTGCTGTGGGACCGGACATTTGAGAATGTAAGGGAAAACAATCTCCTAAGCGCTGTTATAAGCTACTATGGGTGTTTTCTGCCAAGATTTACTTACCCTTCAGGAGTTTCTGTTTAAAAGCTTGTATTTTAGAAAAAGAAACATTTGTTAATCCCTTAATAAGTAATTAGTTAATAACTCATATGAAGTGGTAGTTACATTTATAAAAATTAAAGTTGAATATTGCAAGTTCCAGTTCCCGCAGAGCCCAAACGGGCGTTATTTCAGCCCACAGAAGGGTTATTCAGCTGACGGTCGCGTCCACTCCGGTTGCAGCCTATGCATTAGCCAGAGCGCTTAGAAACTGCTTTATTATAGCTTTAACGTGCTGCCGTAACAAACCTTCCACCCGTTCCTGCATCGGTAGTGGCAGCTGTTTGTGGCACGCTGTATCATCCGTAAGTTTATTTTTTTTCTTCCAAGAAAACAATATTATTTGCACATTGGAATGTTAAATATTGTATTTCTTCAGTGTCAGGTTTATCCCCATCAGATTTGAGGCGGCACGTACATTTATATTTACAACATGACAAACAAATAGGCTGGGACCTGAAAAAAAAAGGTTATTTATTTACTAGTAACAGTAAGGTTGGAAAACTGAAAAAATGCAAACTGGACTGTGCGTCCTGGAATAAAAAATTAATAGCATGAGCAAACATGGTTAAATCAATCCTAAAAGTACATTTTTACAGGAGAAGAAAGGTTTTGAAAAGGGCAGATGTGAGGGCAGGGGTGGCTGGTGCCAGCGAGGCCGGGGAGGGGAGAGGACATGGGGCAAGGGACCGGCAGGCGTTTGCTGCGTTGCTGCCTCCGCCGCGTCTCTGCGAGAGGAGAGGAGTTTCACCCCCTCTGACCAGAGACTGCGGGTTTGGAGACCACCTTTTTTCCAAATGCTAAAAAAGAAAAGATTTTCTCGCTAACAATTTGTGAAGCAGAGAACAGACGATCCTTCGAGTCGATCCGTTAGAACCGAAATTGTCCTAGCACCAAATGTATAATTGCAGCTTTATATAAACCTATGACATATCAGCTGTAAAAGATACAAGTATTAGGTGCATAATTGAGTGCAGGTGATATTGAAGTATTGCCCCTAAGCCACAAGCCAGGTTCGGTTTGCTTTGGGGCTTTTTTGGTTTGTTTTGGTAAATGCAAAGTAAACCTTGGCAAAACGGAGCGCAGCTTGAACACAACTGAAGTCTGCCCCTAAAGTGGTCGGAAAAGTCTGCGTTTGGAGTTTACCTGTGTGCTTTAACCGATTAATGGACAGTATTAAAAGATCATTTTCAAGTTAAGCAAACATTTCTGGCATATTGTATAACACTTGCTTTAAAATTAAGTTAGTTATTCTGAACTTTCTGCCAACTGATTATTTGCTCGATTTTCTGATGACGGTAATACATGTCATACCATCACATAATTTGGTAAAGACAATAAGATTACAAAGACCAAGAAGGGTCTGAGTCAGACTTTGACAGATTAAAGCTCTCCAAGTCCCCTGAAAACCCTTCTCTGACATATTAATTTGACCTACAGCCTCAAAATGTTCCTGATGATATCATCTCAATTGGGCTTTATTTTTGTTTTATTTTTCATTGTAGGAAATTAAAAAGGGTTGGTTGATCCCCGGCCAAGTTCTTGAAATGTGTTGCAACGCTAAGGAAACAAAAGATTACTTGAAATACTTTTTAATAATATGTCATGTCAGCAGAGATAAAGGTTCGCACTTCGTGCCCTCAGCTGGCTTCCATCAGCGCTGGGGAGCGCAGCGTCGGTCCCGGCCGGGCTCCGGGAGGGACCCGCCGTTCGCCTTGCTTTTAAATCGTGAGCTTATGCTGTTGTAATTATGAACGTGTTTACGAAATTTGTTTCATTTCTCTCTGTAAGAAGAAATAAAGGCCTGCAGAGGTGGGGCCGATCCTGCCCGGGGGCGAGGGCAGAGCAGGATACCCCCGAAGCCTCCTCCCCGGCCCTGTTTTCTCTCCGTTCCTTGCCCCGCAGGAACGGCCGGGGGTGGCTGTGGGTGACGAGCCAGACGAGCCCCCGACGCGTGCCGGACACCCATCCCGCAGAGGTGCCTTGGACGGGGGGAAACCACGGCAGCAGGGCTCGGGGCTTTGCGGGGCCGCCGCCGATGGGCATCAGCGGATGGGAGCAGTAACACTGGGACAAAACCACCCTATAGTGCGGATCACGACGCGGCGTAGCAGGTCCCCGGATTCTGAGACGCTTTGTGAAGGAAGATTCACCCACAATAAAAGTCAAATCAAAAGGTAATTGGCATCAGCCTCTCCAAAGGCCGCGCTAGGAGCTGCCTGCGCTCCCCCCCGGGTCGGGGCTGGCTCCTCTCCCCTGGAGCCCCAGGTACACACAGCTCCACAAAAGCCTGGGACTGCAAATTCAAGGAACATCCTGCCGTACACTTGTTTCACGGCTCACGTGCATCTGTCCCAGCTGCCGGTATAAACGGCGGTGTTAGTTTTCCACCGGGAGTTAAACGGGAGCTCAGCCGGAGCTTTCAGAGCCCCCTTTGCAGGCAGGGGTGCTGATTTTCCGCTCCCGCATCGGGCTGCAGGCGTGGTCCGAGCTGGAGCCGGCACCGGGACCGTGCACTCGGGGAAAAGTTGGCAGCCAGAAAAGCGGGCAGCTTTCATCCCCAGGCTGGCTGTCGAGCTCTGGCGCTCAGCACCTGTGTCTGCACCCATCCAGTTCCTCCAAGGCCTTTTCCTTAGACAGACTCCTGTCCCAGGCAGATACGCCAGGCATTTGGTGTATAAACGTGTGTTAAAAAGTATGAATGAGTACACATGTGTATAAACGAGTATCAACATGCAAACCCCACCATAAACTGAGTCACGAGCATCCTTGGAACGGGGATTTGAGGGTAACGACGGGAGGCTGGGGCATTTAAAACGTGCAGGAGTTTAAAACGCCAGGAGCTCTGCCAGCTAGCGGCTGTCCGACCTTTGGGTTTGCTTGTCTCCACAAAGACAACGCAGTTTTCCCTCTGTTTCAGCCCAAGGCTTGGAAGGAATGCGTGCGCCAGGGCGCAGACCCTAACAAATACGGTGAGAAATCCTGGAAAGTGAAACGTTTTAGTAAACCCGTGTTCCCCGAAACTCCGGGAGCGCTTGGAAGCGGGGCACGGAGCGCTGCGCCCCATCCCCTGCCCACCCCGAAGCCACAGCTCCCGCACCCCCCCTGCTTTCTCAGCTGGCCTGTGAATTTTATCCCTTTCCACATTTTTTTCCCGTTAAGGCTCATCTATCCCGGCTGACCTCCCCGGCGCAGGGAGCGGCAGCGGGGCGAGGGGTGCGCTGGGGATGGTTGGGGCTGCGGACACCCACCCCGCTCAGTGTGAATACCATCGCTTCCCCCCAGAAAAACCCCCCCGAGCCCCGAATCCCCTTCGGTGCCGGCTCCGGGGAGGGTGCCCGGCTGGGAAATAAATCAGCGCGGTGCCTTCAAGCCTTCGCAGGGCGGGGAGGCCCGAAAACGGCCGCGCAACCCCAGCGCAGCCCCTTCCCTGCGT